GAGGCGGCGCATGCAGGCGGGGACGAGCTGAGGGTCTGCTAGCCGCGCGAGCCGCGTGGCGGGCGTTGCCAGCGCGGCGGCAAGGCATGTTTCGAGGGCGGGGGAGGGGTTTGAGAGGAACAGGCCCTGGCAGGCTTCGAAGAGCGCCTGCGCGGCTGCCGCCTCTTGCTGGTGCTGCTGTTGCTGCTGCTGCTGCTGCTGCTGCTGCTGCTGCTGCTCGTGCTGCTGCTGCTGAGAATGATGATGATATGGTGCCGCGGCAGCAGCCCCGAGCAGCAAGGGCAGCACAGCCACAATCACATCCCCAACCCACAGTGGCAACACAGCCGCCCCCGCGACTGCGCCGGAACCGAGCCCCTCTCGGCGCCGCTTCCCCCGCCGCTCCGCCGCCGCCGCCTGCGTCTGCCGGCCGGCCCCACCGGCTGGCGTCGCCTGGAGCGCGCCAGCCAGCGCGGCCGCCAGGCGGGTGACGTCATCGCGGGGCGCGAACCGCGCCAGGTGGATGCTGCTGAGGGCTGCGGGGCCGGGTGAGGCCGCGCCCGCGCCCTCCGCCGCGGCCCGGCTCACCGCAGCCTGCAGCGCCGCCACCGCGCCGCGCGCGCGCCGGCGGCAGGCGTCCAGCGCGTCCCGCCGCGACTCGGCGCCCGCGCTTGCGTCCGCGGCCGGGACGGCGCCGCCGGGGGCGGGAAGCTGCTCGGAAGCTTCCGCAGCTTCGAGCATCTTCTCCGCAAGCAGGTTAACCCCTGACGTCAGCGCTGCTTCGGCCGCAGCGGCGGCGATCCCGCCGCCGCCGCCGCCACCACCGCATGGCAGGGGTGCCTGCAGCAGCGGGTGTCTCATGATGGCGGCGGCGGCTGCCCAATCGGGCCGCAGCGGGCCGCCGGGTGTCGCCTGCTTGTGCGCCTCCTGCCCTTCAGAGTCGCCGCCAAAAACCAGCACGCCGAGGATTTGCAACGCCGCCTGCACCCCCGCCTCCGACCCCGCCCCCGCCGCGTGCCCCGCCGCGCAGCACGCCGCGCACGCCGCGAGCCGCCTCAGCCCCTCGCCGCCCGGCAGCCGCGCCGCCGCTCGCAGCGCCGCGGCACGCCAGCTGGTGGTGCGACCGGCGCCGCTTTCGGCCGACTCGTGCAGTGCGGCGCGCAGCAGCAGCAAAGCGTCTGCAGGGTCTGCGCTGCTTTCCAACAGCCCCACCAACCGCCGCTGCGCGGCGCCGGACGGCTCCGCCGCCGCCTGCGGCGCCAGGCAGTGTGCGCGGAGCGCGAACAGCGCCGCCTGCTCGGCCGCGGCGTGCGGCGCGGGCGGCGTCGCGAGCAGCTGCGCGGCGGCTTCCGCGGCGGCCGGCGCGTCCGATGACAAGAGGCTCTGGGAGAGGAGCTGCCACTGCTGCGCTGGGGGCCCAACTGACAGCTTGTGGCCGTTTGCTGCTGCTGCTACTGCTGCTGCTGCTGCTACTGCTGCTGCTGCTGCTACTGCTGCTGCTGAGCTGCTTGCCTTATGCCACTGAATCGAAATCTCGACGCCTGAGCCCGCCCAGTGGCCAGGTTCCGCAGCGCCGCCGCCGCCGTCAGCGCGCCGCTGCCGCTTGCGCACGCCGCCGCCCTCGCACGCCGGGTGCGCGCCCAGCGCGCCGCCGCCGCCGCCGCTGGCCGCCGCCCGCAGGGCACGTGCGCGCGCCAGCAGAGACGCGAGCGGCGCCCCCTCTGGCGGCAGCAGCAGCCGCCGCTCCGCCCCCTTCCCCTCCCCCTGCCCGTCGCCCTCGTCCCTGCTGCCGTCACGGCTCCCCTCCACCTCCCGCCCGTCCCCTGACGCTGACCTGACGCCCTCGCTGGCCCGCGCCCGCCGCGCCGCCGCCTGCGCGGCCGCCTCTGCTGCTAGGAGGCCCTCCAACACCGCCGCCGCCGCCGCTGGATCTGTTGAAACCTCCAGCAGCGCCCCCCATGCGCCGCAGACCGACCCGCAGATCGCCGCCCGCTCCGCCGCCGCGATCTTCGCGGACCCCAGCACGCGCAGCAGCTGCCTCAGCGCCGCGACCGCCAGTGCCGGCGGCGGCCGCCGCACGGCTTCCTCTGAGCCCTCCGCAGCACCCTTGGTGGCGCCCTCGGCGCCGCCGCCCTGACTTAGCAGCTGCTGCCCTTCGTCCATCAGCCGCTGCGTGAGCTCGTGGATTTCGTGCGGCCGCCGCGCGGCGGCTGCCGCCGCATCTGACAGGAACGCCGCCGCCGCCTCCCACGCGGCGCAGCCGCCGCCGCCGCCGCCGTTGAGCCCCGATGGGTGTGGGTCTGGGCCCGCCTGCCGCAGCGCGTGCATGCGGGGCAGGCAGCCAATCCAGAGGAGCGCCTCC